CAGTCTCCCCGCCGGAGCCTGGCCGTGCGGGGCTGACTCGCGCTTCGTTGTTCTCTGCTTGGCGTCCTAGGTGATGGTGACGCCAGGAGCTGCCGCGCGCATCGGCTTAGTGGTTCCCAGCGCTGGAGGCGTTCATCTGACATGTGTCGGGTCCTCCTTGCAAAGCTCTCCCGAGCCTAGCTCTCAGGGCGGGTCCTCCAACACCTGCTCCGGGGAGCTAGTGTGCTAATTTCGGGACCTCCGGGATACGTCAAGGAGCGATCACCCGTGGCAGAGGGTAGTGCCGTGTACAAGCAGCAAGGGACACCCGGCCTGTTGCAAACGCGGCACACTGAGCCGCGAAGCAGGTGCATGCTGTGCGTCCTCTCCGCCAAGACTATAAACAGATGGAGCTTGTGCTTACTGGCGGCATGCCTCATCTTCTCTTTAGAAAAGGCTTCCCTCTCCCTTTGCTACATGCAAGACTTGAGAGCCGAATGATTCTTTAGAGGTCATCTAAACACAATTTTATTTATTTTTTCCCAACAAGGGAGAAGAACGCTCAGAAAGGTTGATGGCTTACTTAAAGCCACACAGCGTTTTAATGAAAGAGTCTGCATTCAATCAGCCGTGATTGCTACAATGTGATTGCTTTCTCTTTGCTACAGCGTTTTGCCTATCTTTCTTTTTGTCCATCTTCAGCTTAGAGTTCGTGACATCACTGTTGGTAGCTCACAGGACTAACACGGCGACACTGGTCCTGCTGCAAGTGACTGTGCTTAACACTACTGACCTGTATGTTTATAAGTGGTTAAGATGGTGAGGAACGGGCTAGAGATATGGTTCTGTTGGTAAAGCACTTGCTGTACAGCAGAAGATCCTGAACTACACTCCCAAGACTGACAAACATCCAGTCCTAATAGCAGGTACTTGTAATCCCAGGGCTGGGGAAGCGGAGAAAGGGAAATTCCTGGGTCTAGCTGGTCACACAGCCTAGCCCCCATGTGGTGAATCCCCAGTCCACTGAGAGATTTGTCTCAAAAACCAAGGTGGAGAGCAACACCTGTGGTTGACCTCTGGCCTATAGGTACACAAAGAGAGAGAGACAGACAGACAGAGACAGAGAGACATATAATTTTTAAAAGGTTCTCAAATAATGTAGTGAATATTGAAAAGACTTGTGCTCGGACATATAGTCTCACATCAGGAGATGGCCTCGATGAACCAGCATGATAAATAAAATCTGAAACAACAGTTTCCTTTTTCCTTATTGACACTTGTGCAGTAACACTTTAGGACAGTAACATTGATTTTTAGGGCCATTCCAGGCAAGTCAGCTTGTCCTGGGGAGTCAGTGGTGCCTCTTGATGAGAGTGAGTAAAGAAGCAGGTAGTACATGGGGGAACCTGTACTAGCTCTATGTACCGCCAGGTCCCCATAGCTAAAGCACTGGAAATGTGCTCCCCAGGCGCATTCTTAGTCAATGGGCACATGATCCTGTAAAAACAGACCCAGGCCACACCGCTGCTCACATCAGGAGGTGGGAATGACACAAATACAATCACAAATACATCAACATGATTAAGTCCCATAAATGCAACACTTGGCAGGGAATGAGACTACAATAGATGTAAGTGGAAGCGCAACTTTAAAAGAATAAATTGCTTATAAGAGTGAGCATATAGCTAATGAAAATATCAAAAAGGAACAAGAAGGCTGCACGCTCATTCTGTGGCAAGGTGGCAAGTGGCCTTCTAGACATAGGGAGGACAATGGGATCTGTGTGCAGAATACTATGTGCCTGGTAAACACACACACACACACACACACACACACACACACACAGACAGACAGACAGACAGACACACACACACACACACACACACACCAGTAACATTTTGAAACATCTCCGTGGAGATACAGGTATTACGAAAGTCTCTAAGCTTTTCTTTCTGTTTGCTGTGTGCCACACAAAAGTAATGTCAAAATAATCAGACACTAGGCTATGTGTGCATGCTCCCTAGGAACACAGCGGGAATGGGGTGACTCACAAGGAACACAGTGGGAATTGGGGTGACTCATCCCACTGTGGGGAACAGTCAGATGGAGGAACTGTAGGCCAGGAGACCCAGAAGGTGCTGTGGAGAGCAGAGAAAGGGATCGTCTATCAGGAATAAAAACATTCTGATCCCACAGGGATAGTGTGAGATGCTTTCTATGTCCCATCTCCCTTTCCTTCCATGTTGTAACCACTAATAGAAAGTTTTTAATGAGCGGGAACTTCACAGAGAGACTCAGCCACCTAGGCATTGTTAAAACTGGTCCTTTTCTGGATGAACCCGTTTTGAAACCATAAATGTTAACTGGTAATGCATGGTAATTTAGTATGACATCTCTACCTGCCTCCCCCAGGCCACCCCCTCACATCCCCAAAGGCTTTGTTTATTCATTTACATACAAGCTGGTCATTTGGAAAAAACCACTAGGTTGGAATCCAACCTAGGTTCTAATTTCAGCTTGGCCACTTTCTGATCCATTGTTAACATAGGCAAAGCGCTAACCTCCAATGAGACCCACTTTCCCCTTTTCATTTACATTGGAGATATGCAAATGCTGCCTATTTAAAAAGTTATGAAACGTGAGGCTGGCACAATGGCCAAGTAGGTAAAGGCAGTTGCTGCCAAGCCTAATCACCTGAGTTTGACCCCTGGACCTACATGATGGGCAGAATCGACTCCCAAAAGTTGTTCTCTGACCTCCACCCTTGGCACACACATGCCCACAAAGACATAGGCACACAAATAAATAAATGTAAATTTAAAAATACACTATTAAAAAATGAAGATGATGAAACATGTAGGATTTGTAGGACTGCTTAAGTTGAAGGAGAGTCCATTGTTTTAGCAAGAAAGACAGTGCGGGAAGCGGCTATTTTTGTTTTTGTTTTAGGTCCTGGGGTTCATTTTTGGTTAGTTGATAGTCATCAAAATTGCCTTGCACTGTGGCTGTGGCATGGAATTTCCAACTTCCTGGAATTCTCCAGAACTTGCTATCCTATCTGCTAGATCCCCCGAGCTTTACGTTGGTTATTTGCACATTGCACTGTTCAGTTTCTCTCGTTAGATTTCTCCTGTGTTTTAGACAGGGTTTTGGAGCACAGGCTGGTCTCCAACTAACTCCCTATGTGGCCGAAGCTGTCCTGGGATCCTTGATCCTTTTGCCTCCACCTCCTGAGGGCTAGGATTACAGGCTTGAGCCACCACACCAGGCTTCGCCTGCCTGCCTGCCTGCCTTCCGTCTGCCCTTCCTTTCCTTTTTAATCCTTGCGTTCTCTGGTTCTCACTACAAGGTGGGCGCTCAGTGCATTTAACTAATTAAATGTGACTGGATTTTAAAAACCCAAATTAAGAGTTATTCTTACGACGGCGTGCCATCTGCTGGTTCCCTGGTGTATCTGTCCTATCTGTCACTCAGCTTGGGACCGGTCCTCCATGACCTCCCTTTTTCTCTGCAGGTGCTTTTCTTCCATCCAACCAATTACAGATTGTTATTTCTTCTAACCCTCTTCCACCTTCTGGGCAGTCTTAAAATCTGTCACAATGGAGTTTGCGTTTCGGAGCTCCCGAGTGACCAGAACAGCATTACTGGGCATGCTCCGTAGGGAAGGGCTGTTTGGGAACACAAACGTAGCAAGCCTTGAAGGAAGATTTTTCAAGGCTTCTGGTTTCAGGATTGGATACAGCTTCCTGCCAGCAATCTATCAAGATGTTACAGCTCCTCCCACTCACCCTACAGCCACACTTTCTCCTTTTTATCTCTGTGCCCAATTTTGGAGCCAGCCCTCCCTTGGATGCCCCGGCCAATCAAGAGACCACACATTGTTGCCTAAGAGACCCCGGATGCCAGCGACAGGATTTATAGATAGTGATTGGACAGACTGCTGGAAGCGGTGAGGTGGGGGCTGGAAGGAGTCACAGAAAGCTGCCCTAGTGCAACGATGGCAACCCCAGAGCCAGAGGCTTGAAGGAGGAGGCCAGCTACTGAGGTGAGAACAGTGGGCAGGGCAGGAAAAAGACGGAGCTTCTCAGAGAGCGCCCTAGCTTCCCACAAGCCTTGCCGGGGCTCTTGGGGATTGCAGTCTGCGGCAGTTTCAGTGGTTGCTTCCAACCTATGAAATTAACAACCAACAATTACGTGCAGGTCAAGCATTAGCTTTTAAAACCATGCATTACAGCACTTATTTAGTTTTTAACTCGTTGAATATAAGGTGAATTCGTATTTAAATGTACCCATCCTCTAATTCCCGATACTGTGAGAGATTCCCCATGTCTGATGTTATTACCGAGTACTGTGGGTGAATTGTGTGTTGGCAGAGAAACTCAATCCTAGCTTTCGTTGTAACCTCCAAATAAAACCTGTCCTGAGTATTTCCTCTGTGCCAGGTTCATTATGTTCTGAGTTTTAGCGTACAATCCCACAAGGTTTAATCCTCAAACTGCCCCCTCCCCCTTCTCCACCAGGGCATCTCTTGAGTAACAAATATTTATTGAACATCTTTTTTGCACCAATGTGATTGGAATTGAGATGAGCAGTGTCGGAAGAACACACAAGCCCAAAGGGTTTCATGCCATGGTCCTTACAGTGGTCAGACTGTCAGTGGATCTGGACAGACTCCAGGGAATGACAGAACCAGGCTGAAAATTACCGGGAGTTGACCCAGACTTCATGTTGAGGAGTTGGGAGTCCACAGCCGTTAGTGAGATTCAAAGGTTTTTGAGTTGAAAAGTGACTTCACTGACTGGTCCTTTAAAACAAACAAACAAACAAACAAAAACTATTGGGTGTGGTGGCACAGGCCTATAATCCCAGCACAGGGGAGGGAGAGCATGTGGATCTTTGTGAGTTTGAGGCCAGCCTGATCTACATAGCAAGCTCCAGGTGAACTGGGGATCTGTCTCAAAACAAAAACAAAAGCAAGACAAAACAAAACAAATCTGAGGGCTGGGAATATAGTTCCATTGGTAGGGTGCTTGTCTAGCACGTATGAAGCCCCAATCCAGCATTGCAGAAATCAGGTGTGTGGTGCACACCTGTAATCCAGAACTTGGGATGTGAAGGCAGGAGGACCAGAAGTTTAAGGTCAGCCTTGGCTACATAAGCCCATTAGTGTGTCATGGTGATGGTGTGAACAACGGCTCAGAAGATTTAGAAGGCTAGACCAGAAATGCATGAGCACTGGGACCCCTGCTTGACTGTTGAACTTGAGCCTGGGGCCATATGTAGGGGATGGGCGTCCTGGGCCTTCTTTCTACATTTTTTTTTTTTTTTTTTTTTTTGGTTTTTCGAGACAGGGTTTCTCTGTGTAGCTTTGCGCGTTTCCTGGAACTCACTTGGTAGACCAGGCTGGCCTCGAACTCACAGAGATCCGCCTGGCTCTGCCTCCCGAGTGCTGGGATTAAAGGCGTGCGCCACCACCGCCCGGCTTCTTTCTACATTTTAATCCCCAGGAACATAAAGTGTAATGATGGGCAGTCATTAAAAGGAAAAGAAGTCCTGTGGAAGTACCAGCAACCTGTATCTCTGGAATAAGGTGAAACAATCTATCTACTTTGTCTTGGTAGACAGGGTCAACTTTTGTGTGTGTGTGTTGTATGGAAACTTCTGTCTTTTGAGTGGTAGCCAGTGGTCTATTCTGTGAACTTGTGTGTGCCTGCACACTGCAAATCTTCTGGGCTGGAGGGCAGAGGGGAAGATTGAAAAGGGATAATCACAAAAGACGAGGTAAGACACCTCCGTTGTCCTGCTTCTGCACGACTATCACCAAGATCTGTGCCTCCTGGCCAAGCCCACCTCCTGGAAATTACAGATGCTTTGAAGAAAACCTAGTCCAGAGTGGTGTTCAGACCTGAAGAACCAGCGAGAAGAAAACAGCCCGTGCAGACCCTTAGGGTGTCTTTGAGAAAGGCTACTTTATCTTCATTCAGATACGGTACCTAGAATACCACATACACTAGGAAGCAAGGGAGCTTCTCAGCTTAACACGGAGATTTTTTTTTTTAACCTGGGGGAAGCAGAATTTTAGCTTCCTGTGTATTTTTTTTTCTAGGAAGAAGATTCATAGCCTTTATCCCAGAGGCTTCAGGACTCTCAAAGATTTTTAAAATAGCTGCTGTCTTTAAAAAGGGGGAGAGGGTGCTGGGCACGGTGACAAATAGCAGTAATCCCAGCACTGGGAAGAGGGAGGAGGGGGGATTTTGAGATTGAGGGCAGCTTGAACTATATACCAAGTCCCTGTCTCAAGATAAAAACAAGCAGTGTACAATTTTCATCTGAACTTGATGGCGGTGCTTTATGTCGGTTGGTTGCCTGCTCACCTCTGCCTGTATTTCTGGCTGCTAGTTAACGATGCTGCAATGAAACCATTTCCTGTGCCTTTTGAAACCTAGCTAAAACTGTAGTGACTTAGATAATTAAACATCAGGAGCTGGGAAGGACCCGGAGGCTGCTGATCCGAGCCCAGGCTATGGTGGGAGAATGTCACCGAGGGAAGGCGTTGACTAATGATTCCTACCAGGGTATAAAACACGGGCTGCATCTTCAGCTGTCACTTTAACTTGAGTGAATATTACATATCAAGTGAGGACCTCAGAGATCTCAGATGTGGTGAACGGGGAAATCCCATCTCAGCTGAAAAGTAATGCATTCAAAATTTTCATCTATGTTTTTTAAAGCAGAGCCTCATTAGCCCAGGCTGGCTTCCCTTTGAGGATGACTTTGAACTTTTGGTCTCCTGAGCACTGGTATTACAGGCATGTGACACCATACCTGGGTTATGTGTTAGTGGGGTTAAACCCAGGGCATTGTGCATGCTGTGAAAGCGCTCTTCTAACAGAGTTACATCCAGCCCAGTTGGTTTTTCTGTTTGTTTGTTTGTTTGTTTGGTTGGTTGGTTGGTTTGGTTTTTCAAGGTTTTTTTATTTGTTTGTTTGTTTGTTTTGGTTTTTCAAGACACGGTTTCTCTGTGTAGTCCTGGCTGTCCTGGAACTCACTCTGTAGACCAGCTGACCTCAAACTCACAGAGATCCATCTGCCCTTGCTAACCGAGTGCTGGGATCAAAGGCGTGTGCCACCACCACCCGGCCTCCAATGGTTTTTAATCTGTTCAGTATTTAATGCTGCAGGTCATGTGTGGAGCCCTAGATTAGGCATTTGTAGGGTTGTCTCCAACACAGTTCGACCTGTGTGTGCAGCAAACCCATCTTCAGAGAGAAGGGAGGGTAGAAACTCCTGTCCCTTATAAAATATGTCATCGTGGCCCACCAAACAACAGGTTTTGGACACTCCATAAGTGACAAGTTCTCAGAAAGAATGAAGGAAGTAACTAGTTACTCAGGCCACCTGCCCATCAGCCACCTTGTCAAGACCTTTTTATCTCTCCCAGGTATCATTTTGGAGGTACACACACACATAGGATTTTAAAAACAGCACAAAGTGGGGCTGGAGAGATGGCTCGGAAGTAAGGGTGCTTGGTGCTCTTGTAGAAGACCCAGGTTTGAGTCCCAGCACTCACATGATGGTTCACAACGATCCATGACTCCAGTTCCAGAGGATCCAGTGCCCTCTTCTGACCTGCTAAGGCATCAAACATACACATGTGCAGGCAAAACACTCACACACAACAATAAAATAATAAATCTAAGAAAATTGTTTTAATTGCAGAGCCAGTATTTTTAAAATAATTGCACAAGGCTGATTTTAAAAAGGTTTCAAAAGCAGAAATATTCCAACTCACAAATGTGAAGAGGAAAAGGGTAGGTTGCTTCTAGGGGACAGAAATGCAGTCTGCTCAGGTCACTAATGTTACCCTCAATGACCACCTCATGCAGAAAAGGGTAAGTCCGTCTGTGAATTGATCCACTTAGCATCTGTTGTCAAGGAAGGGACCACTGGTGGTCCCCAAATGAAGCAAAAACAAACAAACAAACAAAAAACCCAGCATCTGGACACCTCTAAAATCAGCCAAACAGTGAGGAAAAAGAATTCCTCAAGGAAAATTAAAGTCCCTTAATTAAAAGTAGGCAGACTGTATACCAGATAGCTAAAAACAGCAAATTTCTCCCCAATAAACACACATCTGTCCATCTCCAAAGGTGTGGTCTTGCCCACTACATCAGTCTACTCCTTGAATATATCAGACTGGAACTCTTTTTTCTCAATGCTAAGAGTAGAGGAGGAGAGTTAATTAGACAAGACAAAAATTAGGTGTTTGTTTTAAGATAGAATCTCATAGAGTATCCATAGCTTGCCTGGAACTCTCAATGAAGACCAGTGTGGCTTTAAATTCAAAGAAATTCACCTACTTCTGCCTCCCAAATGCTGGGGTGAAGGGTGTGCACTTTTTTGTTGTTGTTGTTTGTTTGTTTTGTTTTTTCCAGACAGGCTTTCTCTGTGTAGCCCTGGCTAGCCTGGAACTAGCTCTTTAGACCAGGCTGGCCTCCAACTTAGAGATCCTCCTGCCTTTGCCTCCCAAGTGCTGAGATTAGAGGTGTGCACTACCATTGCATGGCAAAGGGTGTGTTTTATGTTGTACTGTACTAAATTTGAAGCATTTCTCTTTCTGGCCAGTAAACTTTGTTCTGAGCTAAGTATGACTCTGAACTTCCCTCATAATCCAGTGGTCTGATTCCTGTTCCACTCACTATCTATATGATCTTTGGCAGGGTGGGTAGCTTCAGTGAACCTCATTTTTTTCCCAGTGGTCTAAGTAGCTAAAACCCACAATTTCACCACCAGCTCATTGTAAGCTTGTATCAAATGTACGTCATAAAGTGTTTGACATAAACAAGGCCCTCAGTAAATATTCTACCCACCCATACCCTCTCTCAACATACAAAATTATGAATTTTTTCTGTGTTAGTTTTCAGAAGAGTCAATGATGTGTTTCTTCTGATAGGTGTAATCTTTCTGATGGAAGAATACCAGGTCATTTCATGATGGCATTTGCACCTCCAAAAAGCACTGATGGCCCCAAAATGCAGACAAAGATGAGCACCTGGACACCCCTAAACCATCAGCTGCTGAATGACCAGGTGAGTGGTCAGAGGTGTTTTATCATTTGGGTCCTAGAAGGCGGGGAGGAGAAGGTAAATTTCTGGTAGTCAGAATATGAGCAGGAATTGTTTAAGATGCTTTGATCTATGAACAAAAGACAAAACAAGAGGTTTATTTAAAAACAACAACTTTTTGTGTCTTTGCTATGTGGGCAAGACTAAAATTAGATCAGAGTTTTGCCCAAGGGAAAAGCTGTTGTTCTTTCCTGCATTATCTATCCCAGTGTGTCTTCTTTCTCCCATCGCTGGTTCCCCTTGGAGCCAACAGAATTTGAGGAAGGGAGGAAAGATGTCTAGGAGGTGTCCCCCCCCCAAAAAAAAAATCCCCACGTTTCTGGATGAAGTTGAGGTCACTTAGTGAATACATTTCAGCCGAGTACTCATGGTACTGACGTTCTCCTAAGAAGTCTATTTCCTAGTTTAATTCTGAGGAGACGCAAGTAAAACCCACCCGATCAGGGATTGCAGCCAGCGGCTGGGATGTGAGATTGGCAGAGCTCTGGGGTATTGTAGTCTTGCTTCTATGAGTTACTGAACTCTGATCAGTCCCTGGACATCATCAGGACCACACCTACTCCTCAACGAAACACAATCGGTTTCATTGTCTAAAACTGACCTCACTCTCTCCCCTCTCTACACCTGTCCTTCCTCCAGGTGAGAAACCCCACTTTATTCCATCCTGGGACCATAAAACCTCCCCTTTCCCTGTCAGGTGTGGGATTGGATTCTTCACCCCAATTTACAGGCTAATAAGTGAGTCTGTTGGTGGTGGAACAAAAGACAGTACTATCTCACAGTAAAGGACACGGGGATCTGGACAGGGACAAAGAACTTCCGCTCACAGCAGAGCTGTCAGGGTGAGCCTTCTGCATCAAGCCTAAACGCTGACCTGGTTGACCTCCACCAGGTGAGCGATGCCCATCACCCAGATAAGCACCTGGCACACAGTGGGTTTTCTAGCAGCTGAAGACCCGTGAGCACAGGGAATCTAATACTTCGTAGTAAACAATAAATATAAACTCCTCCCTCTTGGTTGCCTTCCTGCAACGTAACTTGTAAAACAGATCCAAGTGAAGAGGGCTCAGGGCCTTCACTTCTCAGTATGCCCAGACTCTTCAAATAGGGAGACCTGTGGAGGACTATCTATCTACACACCCTCGCCTCCATATCCCATTTGTTCTCTGGGTCTTTGAGTCTTCTCTCTAGATCTAGTCAACCAGCTCCATGTTCTCAGGTCACTTGCTCACCACCACCCCTTACCGGGCACAGTAACCTCCTGGCTGTTGTCACTGCCCCCATCTGACCCGCTCACTTATCCTCTACTAAGGCCCCAGAAAGATCTTTCTGAAATACCAATCCTATTAGGTGAGACTGAAAATGGGATCTACTCCAAAGGACAAATTCCAACCCCCCACGCATCCTTGGGGTCCCTTCAGGTCCTGACCCCCAGCCAACCTCCCAGCTTTTACCCCTGCCAATACCCACTGGCATTTGAAGCCAGCCAGGTAAAGTCCACAGTGCCACAGCTCCTGCCCTCATCACCTGTGAGCCAGCTTCAATGTCCCTCTGTAGCACCTTCCCCGCTTCCTGCCTCCTCTTGGCTCTCACTGCTGTTTCTGACTTTCCTGTTCAACGTTAGCCCATCAAGACCGATGTGTTCTTGCCCCACGCTCTGAATACACAGGTCTGGGAGTGGCTTCCAGAACACAAGTCCAGTCCTCTAACTGTTCTCTCTCTCTCTCTCTCTCTCTCTCTCTCTCTCTCTCTCTCTCTCCCTCTCTCTCTCTCTCTCTCCCCTCCACTTCCATATGTGCAACTACGAGTGTACATGTGCATGCATGTGTGTGGAGGCCAAAGGACTTCAGCTGTTATTCCTCAGCTATGATCTACCTTGTTTTGTTTTGTTTTGTTTGTTTTTTTGTTTTTGTGTTTTGTTTTTTGAGACAGGGTTGCACATAGGCTTAGCTCTTACCAAGCAGGCAAGGCAGGCTGAGCTCCAGGGATCCACTGGTCTCTGACTCTCCAGCACTGAGTTTTAAACACACCGCAACTCCTTGCGGCTTTTTAGTGTGAGTTCTGGGGGATGCAGTTGAGGTCCTTGTATTTGCAACCACCTGTTTCAGCAACTGAGCCCTTTCTTGGATGTTCATTGACTTTTATCTTTGGGCCCTTCTAGCTCCTTCCTAGACTGGAGTCGGTCCATTGTTTCTGTAATCCTAACAAAGTGTTGATCCCTCCTGGCAAAACCTGTAGTCAAACCTGGCTAATCTGAGAACCAAGAACTTTCCCCTATTCTGATGTGAATCAGGAGTAAAGGAAGAAGGGGGTGTGTAAGAAATTGGAATCCTGAGAAATAAAGTGGAGCGATGCTAAAAGAAAAAAAGAGATACAAAACTGACCTAAGAGGAGAGAGAGAGAGATGGAAGAAAGGAGGCCTCGGGAACACGAGGACAGGCAGAGGCAGATGGAGCCTGGCCTCATAGTGCCAAATGAACGTATGGAAATCTTTTTCTTTCAGCACAACAATTATTTATTGAGCACCTGTTGTGACGCTCGTAGCTCTCCAACAGTTTATATAACAGTTTATCCCTCCAACTTCAGTGTCAAATTTGGAAATCTGTTTTCTCATTGAATTGTGAAGGTTTTGCACATATGTGGAAAAGTGACTTGAGTTGAAATACAAAGTTGTTGAATGTCTTGATTTTCAGAAAATTTCCTAGAAAAGTCTTGATCAATTTGGCCACTGTGAAGAAGAAAACGTATCTTAAGCTAGGCATGGTGGCATGTGCTTTTAATCCCAGATCTCAGAGGCAGAGGCAGGAGGATGTCTGTGAGTTCAGGACCAATCTAATTTACATAGTGAGTTCCAGACCAGCCAGTGCTGCATAGCAAGACACTGTCTCTGTTGTTTTTTTTTTTTTTAATTGGTGACAGGAGAGATGTTCCACAGTTAAGAGCACATATTACTCTTGCAGAAAACCACAGTTCAATTCCTAGCACCCACATGGGGTGGCTCACAACTTCCCCCAGTCCCAGAGAGATATGATACTTTTGTCTTCTTGGAGCACTTGAAGTCATGTGCACATACCAACACACAAATATAATTAAAATAAAATGTAAATATTTTAAAAGTACTTTCAGAGTCTCCAAAAGTACCCAAGTGCTTGTAGGTAGGATGATAAAGAAAGATCCTTTATTTGGCGGTGCTGGGGATTGAACACAGGGCCTTGCACATGTGAAACAAGACCTCTCCTACTGATGTACATTCCCAGCCCTGAGAGGTAGGTTTTGAGATGAGCATATAGGAATTAACTCTAAAGAAGGGAAGAGAAAGTATAGTGGCTATTCTTGTTTCTCAATTTGACTTCATCTGGAATTAACTAAAACCTAAGTGGCTGGGAACATCTGCAAGGGATTTTTCCTTAATTAAACCATTAAAGAGTGGAAGATCCATCCTTTAATCTAGGCCATACCTTCTAGTGGCAGCCAGAATAATATAAAGGACACAGAAGGAAGCTTGTTCTTTTTGCCTACTTGTTCTCACTGGCAAGTCCATTCCTTCACTGGCATAAGAGGCTACTTCTTCAGGATTCCAGTGTATACTGAAGATCAGCTGAGACATCCAGCCTGGTGGACTGAACAACTACTAGATTCTTGGACCTTCCATTGGTAGACAGCCATTGTTAGACTAGCTGGACCATAGCCTGTATGCCAGTCTAATAAATCCTGTATATTGTAGTGACATTCCTGCTGAGCTCCTGGCTTGGCTCCAGAGAGCAGCACCTAGACCTAATCCTTTCTTCGTTTAGCCACACCTTTTGTTTTTCTTACCTTTTGTTTATCTTATCACCCTATGTGAATCTTGTTTGAGAGTCGAGAATCAGAGAGTCCCCAAGGATCAAAGGCCTGTGCAAAACTTGGTCCAGGAAACCGGGAAAACCATGGTACCTGATAAATCAAGTAATTTGCACCTGGCATTTGGTCTCTGGGAGCTCCTTTTGGGTTGCTTTAAAGGTACAGAGATTAACTATCTAAACTGTAAAATAGAGTAAATAAATATGCCCTAGGCAAAGGGTTAGTGCTTCAGTCCTTCGAGGCTGGACCCCCCTACAGCCATGAAAGGCTAGATTCATTCTTAAGATGCCTCTGTGTCTTCGTTCCACAGACCCGCATGAACCCACACACTCATGTAGCGACCACACAGCTACATATATACATATGTAAGTTCTGTTCCTCTAGAGAACTCTGACTAATACAGAAGGGAAGGGTGTAGGTTGGGGGCCAAGAGTGAAGGGGACTGCAATGTAACTTCATGGTGTCTCCACTGGCCCCACAGGACACCAGCTGTCGTGATCCCTCCAAGTTGTCTCACAGTTCAGCAAGGAGGCCTGGCCTTTATAGTTGACACTGCCCTTCAGTGACCAGCTGCTCTCCCCTCCAAGGTCATGACCTTGGCCAAGGCAGCTTCTTTGAGCTCCTGGTTGTCAATGGATATGAAATAAATCCCTCAGTTCTAGAAAGGATCGATACAACATACCAAACATGGCCTGGTCTCATCCTTGTTCCTTAATGGCTTTGATCACATTTAATGATAATTTTTAGAGAAAACACTCATCATTCATAACTCCCATATTCAAAAACATCATCATTTAGTTGGTGTCTTGTTTCAAATGAATTTTTACAAAACATATATGCCATTGTGAACTCCTTTTTAAAAAATATTTATTTTTAATGTATGTTTGCTAGAGTCAAGGCAGTTATCCTGCCCATCCCTGCCCATCCCCTGGGGGGGGAGCGCGTGTGTGTGTGTGTGTGTGTGTGTGTGTGTGTGTGTGTGTGTG